ACACAAGGTGAATTTATGTTAATTTTACCAACCAGCGTTCTCATCAATTATATATATTTTGGAAGGAAATGTAAACATTATTGCCTAAAGTACTTATATACATCTGATAGCTGAACATAAGAAAGAATTTCAACAATCTACAAAGGTAAAGCTGATTAAAGGGTACCATATTTTGGTTTATTTTATTTAGCCTTAAATTATATATTAATATTTTTAATGTAAACTCAGTAAGAGCTGGTATAGTCAATATGTAACATAAGTAGTCTCATCTCTTCAAAGAGAAAAGAAAACAAAAAGTTGAGCTTTAGATCATTGCTATTTCATTGGGAAGTTCTCTAATATTTTATGGGAATATTTTAATAGACCCCAGGAGTTTTGAAATACTGTTTCCTTTTGAAATATTTTCCATTTGATGAAAATAATAATTTCCCCTGTAAAGTGAATTCTTTCAAAAGTTTCCTGAAAGCCTATTTTTAGGAAATAAATTTTTAAAATCCAGTGTCTTTAACACAAATATATCAGAACACGAATTTGAAATAAATCACAGAAAATAGTGCCAATGGGTATATATGGATGTGTATCTCTTACGTATGTATATGTTTAAGAGAACAGATATATATGTATGTATATATACATATATATACACACACATACACGAATATGTAGGTAGCACACCTACATTTAAATACACATACATACCCACTTCGCTGGGTCCAAACATGCACTAGGAAGTTATTTTAGGGCTTCGACTCTTCAGAAAATCTCATTAAGTGAGGAGCGAAGTGGCTCTGCGGGGAGCATTATGGAAATATCTGGGCTTGATTTAATGAGGCTGTTCACATTGGTGGAATATCAACTTAACAGAGAAAAGTCTACCCAGGGCATCCAAGTTACCAAAATGAAAATTGGCAATTGAGATGATAAGAACGTGGCTTTCTTCTGCGAAATCACTCCAGGTAACAGAGATAACATTAAATAACATACATTCTATGCACCAAGAACAATGTTTTATGTACCGAGTCTCTTATCCGTCTCTCCTAATGACTTCCCTTAGCGGGTTGTTAGTACTTGACAGCAGGTCTCCGTGCGGGGAACTTTTCTCCAATTCCACATTCAAAGGAGGTCCATCAGAGAGCATGATTGGCAATTTTCGTCATAATCTGCACATTATTAGCATCAAAATTGACGTGGCAGTTAACACTGGTGGGTTTTGATGTGCCTTTCTTCAAGTTCAAGAAAACCCCTCCAGTAGCCAGGGTTGGCAGAGCGGGTCTCAACAACCCAGCGGTGGCCTTGCAGAGGCGAAGGCGCAATAGACATGCGTGAGAAAAAAAAGCCAAGAACCATTTTACCGGAAGAAAAGGAAAGAGAGGAGGGAAGGGACTGAAGGGAAATAGAGTTCAAACTTAGAAAAGTGTCTAAGGAAATGCTTTAGGATAATACATATCTAGAGATTCAAGTATTTCCCAGGTGGAGTGGAACCCAGTAGTTGGAAAACTGAGCTGAAAACGCTTCTTCAAATACTACAGTGATCTGTCAGTCTTGCCTTCCCCATCCTTTCGTTTCCCTCTCCTTTCCTGGCCTGGTTGTGGCAATCTCCTTAGCCATTACTTTTTGCATAAAATGTGCAAGACGCCTCCATCCCAAACCGAAGATCAGAAGAGAGAACAGTGGTGGGCAGAAACAGCGGAAGAGAGACCACCTCCCCTTCCGCCTCGGCTTTGTGGCTTTGTTCTTCCCGGGGAAGGCGGCCACAGCCCCACCATCCTTGCTCCCGCACGCAGTAGACAGTCTCACAAACGCACCCGCAGCCGCCCGCGCTCTCCATCCGCCCTCCCGGCCTTCTCAGACCTTTATTCTTTCGTTCTTCTCGGACAGGGCCCCTAACAAGATCAGGCTGAGAGAAAACTTGCTACCTCCTCTCACCCTCGTTTAAAGAAAAGAAAGCATGGAAGAAACAGAGCAGCAGCAGGAACATCAGGGGTGACTTTCCCTCCCGCACAAAGCACAAGCCCACACCATTCCCTTCTTTCTTTGCTGTGGTTCTCGGTTGCTTCTGGCCACGTGGTTCAGCCGAGTAACGCGCGGCCTGAGAGCTTACAGCCAAGGCTCGAGACCCCAGAGGACTGGTCTAGGGGCGAGGGGATTGCCTTCGGGAGACCAAGAGCTCAGGACAGAGGCAGGAAGCAGGGTCTGCGGAGCGGGAAACATATTCAGAGGAAGGGAGGCGGCTGGGTAGCAAATACAAAAATAGATATAATTCGAGGGGACGGCCGCCCGGCTTTCACGCCGGCTCTTTCCCCCCAATTTGGGGCAGGTTCCCTTCGGCCTCCCTCGCCGGGGCGCCCCCTGGCGGTAGTTTACGCAGCGGGCAGCGCGCAGAGGGCATATGGGCGCACAGGGGGCGCGGGGGGCGCTCGGGGGGCTCCTGGGCACACTCCAAGCGGCGGGCACGGCCCCCTGGCGGCGGCGACGTAGTTATCTTGTGAGCGGCGCCTCGTCCCTCTGGTCCGGCGGGCTCACGGC